CGCCGCTTAACGCTTGCTGATCACGGTCCTTACTTGGTGGCGTCGAAAATAATGGAATAATTCCAAAAAGGAAAATCGGATAATCACGAAAAAAAGAGAAAAAGAGAAAAGCGAAAAGAAAGAAAAGAAAGAAAAGAAAAAGAAAAACAGCAGATATCGAGTCTAGAGGATGATCTAAACGCACGGTTCTGGTAGTCCTCTCTCTCTCTCTCTCCACCGGGTCCACTGTGATTGATTCGATGGCCTCTCTCTCTCCTCGCTTTCCGTTTTTCTCTTCTTCGTCTCTCCCTCAAAAGACGGGGCAAGCCGGGATTTCTGCAGACAACATTCTTCTCTTTCTTCTCTTGGGCCTGCCTTAGTCAGCTTCTTCTTATCCTCCACTGATCGACTTTCCCGCTGCGGCTCAGCGTCATTTTGCTTCACCTCTTTTCCCCTCTCTTAACCGCTGGGCTAAGTTTCACTGTACGATTTCCTGCTTGCATTTTCCCCCATTGCCCGCCCTTTTGCCCTTGATTTCTATTTTTACTTGCTATATATCTGTTTGGCCTGTTTTGTTTTTACTTTTTTTTCTTTTTCCTCAAACGCCATCTATCCAGCCTGCATAGGGATGCGTTTGCTGCACCACCCCAGCCTCCACCTTTCTGTACGTCGAACGCACTTCTTCTCTTCTCAACCCCCCCATCCCTCGACTGTCTAAGACTTTGAACTCTCCCTCCCCCTACCTTTATCCGGCTTTGGCCTTATTTTATCATCCAATGCGCTCCAATTTGAGAGTTTCTTCTTCTATGACATGATTCCCTGCATGACCTTGAAACGACCTCCAAACTTACGCCTTTCTGTCTAGTTCCACTGAAGCTTCCCAACTTTGATGTGTTCGATTGATGATTGTTAATGATTCTGATGACCATTGTGCTTCTCGCTGAATTCTGCTTTTCAAGAAAAAGTCCTTATTGCGCTTCTGTCTAGGCTTCCCGAGTCTTGACAAAAGGTTTACGACTTACTACGAAGCTTCACTACGAATATTGGACGTGCATTGCCTGCATCTTGCATCACTTGCTATAAAAATTCTCTATTTTTGGGACGTTTGATCCTGAAAGCCCGTTGAATATTGCGTTTGCAACTCTTTCTCTTTATTATTTACTATTTTTATTTTCCCCTTCGTGCGACGTTCGCAAGCTCTGTGGTCTTCCAACGATTCTGCGGCCTATATTGATAGCACGCCGGACGACATTTACGACGTCCGCTGCTCGCTTCATCCCTCCATTTTTCTAAACCGTTTATCCGTGCAACCGAAAAGCTGGAGCTGCCATCGATCTCGCAGGTCCATACCCGCGGTCCTGCTGACATCCCCTGGTACAACCACCACGCGGCGGAACGACCGTTATTGCCCGGCGACAAACTCCCCGCTCTCAGCCTGCCAACAGCCACCCAGGGCCTCTCTCGGACCGCCTATCACGATTCGTCCGCGACCAATTCCACCACCTCTAGCGCTCGCACGAGTCTGTCTGGTGCCTCTGTGCCTACCAACGAACCCAGGAGCCCGTCCTCTGCGGACCTGTCTGGGAACCAGGGCCGGCTTTCATTAGATTCATCCGCAACCGAATACAGTCTCCCACATTCGGTCAACGAAGGGTACTATCCCAGCCCAACTTCCCTCGGCAGCATGAACCAGACCCAGCCGTACATGGATGTCCACTCGCACATGTCCTCTGCTCAGTCCTACGCTCCTCAAGGCGCAACCGCAGGGGCTATGTCCCACTATCAGTACCACGGGCAACCCCCGGTGATGCAGCCCGCGTCTTCTTACGCCCCGGCTGCTTACCCCCAATATGGGTACGCCCCGGGCGTTTCTTCACCCGCGGGACACCCGCCAACCTCGATGGGTGGCCAGATGCAGAGCCAGTTGCTGCCCTTACCTGGTAAGCTCCAAAGCCAGAGTGGGATGGATGATTATTCTGATCGTTACCAAGTGAGCAATCACCCCGTGGCACCTCCGAGTGGCTATGCAAACACTACTGGTGCTCCGCTACAAGGGTTTGTCTTTGATGGTACTGGGCAAGTTGCTCCTCCGGGAGCGAAGCCGCGAGTGACAGCAACATTATGGGAAGATGAGGGAAGCCTCTGCTACCAGGTCGAAGCAAAGGGAGTGTGCGTGGCTCGACGCGAGGGTAAGTTGATTCTGCTGGAAGGTCAACCGAGGATATGTTTGCTAACGTTTCTCCCGCAGATAACCACATGGTCAATGGCACAAAGCTGCTAAATGTAGCTGGCATGACCCGTGGTCGACGTGATGGAATCCTCAAAAGCGAGAAGCTCCGTCATGTTGTGAAAATCGGACCGATGCATTTGAAAGGTGTCTGGTATGTATTTTGACCCCGGAGAGCATGCGCAACATCGGCTGACTTTTATTCTTCAGGATCCCATTTGAGCGTGCTCTAGAATTTGCCAACAAGGAGAAGATCACTGATCTCCTATACCCACTCTTCGTGCATAATATTGGTGGTCTTCTATACCACCCGGCTAACCAGACTCGGACAAATATGGTAGTGCAAGAGTCCCAGCAGCGACGTCTGGAAGGTCCACCTCCGGGTCCCCAGCGTACGCCATCTGGATCTCAGCAAACCCCGATTCACCATCACCACCCCTCCCTGCAGACCCCCATGTCTTCTCATATGTCCCAAGGTCCAATAAACGGCCAGCCCGGCTCCAGACCAAATCTCGAACGTGCCAACACATTCCCCACACCGCCAGCTAGCGCATCCAGTCTGATGGGCGTCAGCCATCAAGGTTCATACGAATGGGGCGGACAAGTGCCACATACACAACCCCTGTCCATCGACACCGCGCTGAGCAACCAGCGCTCAATGCCAACCACCCCCGCAACCACCCCACCGGGCAACAACATGCAAGGCTTGCCAGCTTACCAAAGCCAAGGCTACGACAGCTCCAAGCCCTACTACTCCGCGGCACCACAAACTCATGCCCAATACGCGCCGCACACCCCATTGACTCAATCAGGGATGTCCAACTACGGCCAACCCCTGCCCGGCGGGTACATGAAAAGCGAGATGGCGCCACCAAACCCACGGCCCGGCGCCTCAGAGCCCGAAACCTCTGAGCGCGACACAAACCGCTACAGCCAGAGCAATGGACCCGGTGAGACTGTCGCCGAGCATGACCAGGAGTACATGCAAGATCCCAACGCCGGCTACAACTCCAACCGCAGCTCCTACACCTACACCACAAACCCCTCCGTCAGCTCCCTGACCGGTGAGCACTCCCAGCTCACCCCGGAGATGACCAGCTCCCCGAGCCAGCAGAACGGCTCCGGCCGCATGACTCCGCGCACGGGAGCCGGCCCCCCTCCTCACTGGGCTTCGGGCTACAACACCCCTCCTCGTCCCGCCGCCACTACCCTGTACAACGCTGTCAGCGATACTCGCGGTACCCCAGCCACCGGTGCGTCGGACCCCTACTCCATGGCCTCGACCACGGCTCCGGTCTACGCATCTGGCAATGGTTCGCTGAGTGCGGGCAGCAAGCGCATGCGCGAGGACGACGATATCCGCCCCGAGAGTACTGCCGAGTATGAGACCTCAAAGCGCCGCAAGACCATCACCGATTCTACCCTCGGAGGTCCGGTCGGTGGCCCGCCTATTCTTCAGCCCATGAAGCCTAGTGGGGTCATGGCTCGTCACCGCTGAGGGCGTGCAATTCAATTGTAGCTTCTAGCTAGCTTCGAGCTTGTGGTTTTTTGTTCCGGTTCTCTTCGGGTTTTGTTTGGCTCTTGCTGGATTATTCTTTTTTTTTTTTTTTACTGATGGTTAATTTCTCGGTCGGAGTTTGTTTTTCACGATAGACTACGCATGCACAACCCGCATGGCGCGCCGCGGTCTTGTCTGTGTCTCACTACGAATACGTGGATATCGGTAGACCCGGCGGTGTCGAAACGAAACGAAGCTCATTTGTCTCTTTGCGTTATGTTTTAGGTTGAAGAAACCTTGGCTTTTTTTTGAGAATATCTAACTTGTGTGGGGGAGAGGGGAAGAATTAGGCGCAAGATCTGTTCACGGTACAACATTAGCGACGCATTTCTTGATACTTCCGTGGTTAAAAGACTTGCCACTTGTTGAAGACTTGGATAGTGATCGCAAACCTCGATGACTACGATGTGACGAATCTCTTATGAACGAATTTTCTTTGTGTGATGACTTGACCACGACGAGCCATCTTCATTAACGAGTTGTTTTTCTCTTGTTTTCTTTTCTTTTTATCATTGATGCGTGTTCTGGGGTTTGAAAAGGGTATTCTTTGTGGCATGGCATTGGCATTGGTTTTACTCCCCTCTCTACTCTCTGCGCTGCTGTTGCTTCTGCTTCTGCCACTGCCACTCTACTAGAGAGATGATTATCATGGTAATGAACGGTTATGAACTCTGGGTCTGCATGCCTTTAGCGACATACAACGTTGGTTTTGTCCGGTCTAAATGGATTGTTTTTTCCGACTTCTCTCGCCTTACAGCTTGTAGATGTAATTGTAAATTGTAGTCTGCTGGGCCTTGCTTCGCTTATTGAGCTATTGAACTTGACCGTTACGACTTGACGCTATAGATCATCGGGGGCATTCATAGCTATTAGATACTTAGGCTTTCTTCATGGCAGCTTCGGTTATCTTACTTCATCCTTGAGACTTGTTCTCAAGCTTCAGCTTAGTGCCAGTGTGTATCTCCAAGGAAACCGTCAAATAGAGTCTATAAATTGTATATGGCTCATTGTACTCGCATACCTCACACCACGTGACTAAATCTACCCTATCTATCCCAAAACAGCAAAATCAAAACATGCGAACCATGGTTCTTTCCGTTTGACGCCACGGCGACTTCTCGCCAAATTTCAACTCAAGCATAACGACATCCCAGAACACCTCATCCCGGCCAACGTCACCCTCAAAATTCGAATAGAGACCCTCGCCACAAACCCGCAAAATTGCAAGATCCAACTATGACCAGCGACCGATCAGAACGAGCCGCAAAACCACAACCCCCAGGACCCCAAAACCACCTCTATTTCGACTCCTGGCAGTCAGCCTCAACGGGTCACCAGCATGCAGCCGACGGCGGCGGTTTCCTCGGTTCAACATCATGGCGAGATGCGCGTTCGGCGAAATTGACCAGGCAGTATAATAGTGGGGATTGTCTTCCAGGACGGGGAAGGGGATCGGGATCGGGCCTTCGGAATACAGAAACACGAGAGTCAACGCTTGTACCCGGGGTGTTCGATGGGCAATGCGCGCCGCACTCGCCGCCCAAAGTCCCTGCTTCCGGTGAGTGGGCTATGGTAGCTGGGGATGTGGCAAAGCGGAACGAACTCGGTGTTCGGGACATCCGGTCGTTTATGGGTGTTAGCAAGAGGAAGGTTGTGGATGAGCCCGAGCAGCATACCGATGTGGAGACGAAGAGACTTAGGACTGTTGGAGGGAACCGGGGGTTGACTCCAGCTCGAGATGCAAGGGAAATGAAAAAGAGAGAATCTCAAATAGATGGCAACCCCCAACCCGAGTCCCACTCTAGCGCCAGTCTTGATTTAAAGTCGACTTCGCGTATCTTCGCTGGTGTTACGGTATTCATCAATGGCTCCACACTTCCTCGAATTTCGGAGTACAAACTCAAACATTTACTAGCGTCGAACGGGGCTAAGACTTCTATTTACATGGCCCGGAAGACGGTGACGCATGTTCTTGTCGGACAGCCCAATACTGGGGCTGGGAGTGGAATGGATGTATCTGGTGCAGGGGGAGGCCTTGCGGCGGGCAAGCTCCAGCAGGAAATTGCCCGTGGGGGGTGGAAAGGCGTGAAGGTTGTCAGTGTGGACTGGTATGTACTATCCTGATGCTGTTGAAGACCGGCAAGTGACCCTTTCTGATGTTGAACCTTTTATCACTAGGGCTCTCGAGAGTATCAAAGCTGGGCGTCGTCTTGCCGAGTCCCGGTTCCCTAGTATGCATGTTGCCGCCAAGGGGCAGCGGAGTGTTGCTGGGATGTTTGGTGCGCAGGAGCCGAAGAAGTGATCTTCTTTTACATGGTTACGGTTGGCATTTAGCGACTTTCTTCTTTTTTGCATAGCATATGGCGTTTTGGATAGAGCCATGATTTTCCGTCAATTTTCCGGCTTGGGATTATGAGCATTCCAACCACGTGCACTTAGGATACCCAATGATCTATGATCACATCGAATCTGATCTGATCGTCATGAATATGAAACGTCTGCTTTGAAATTTCTCTCGTTCAATTGACTAATGTGCCACCGTTGCTGATACGACTTATGCAGTACTCTACTCTCGGCTTGACACTTGAGGTTCTCATTTCATTAATATCATGCACCATTATCATAACATCCATTATATACAAGATCACAATCACAATCACCGTACATGTACAGACTGGTTTGACAAAACCAGGTTCGACCACAGGACAAAAATCAGTTAAAAAACAGAAAAGAAAAGACATATCAACAAAATCTCTCAATAAACGCCATAGCCATGCAAAATACTATAGGGAAAGAAAACAGGATATGTGCGCCATAAACTGGAATCCAGGATGGCTATATAAGCCAGAAAGATTGCAAGTTTCTCATTCACCTGAACGAACTTCCTCTACCTCCGCGCGTGGCATACGTCTCGCCATCATGGCTGCTGTTTTCAGACATATGCCGACGCCAGCCGCTCTGTTGGCGCGCGAGGTAGCCAAGGGGGTGATCGTTGAGGTCTCCCGTTTCGCTAGAGAGGGTTGTTACCATATCTGATTCCGAAGAGACTGATCTCAATGCCGACGAATTAGTTGCGATGGGCCTGAGATCGAGGGTGGTGGTGGGTGTGATATCAGGGAGTGGCGGCAAGGGGTTTGGATGGCGGTGGGTAGAGAAGGAGGATTGGGCGGGGGGTGGGGCGTGAGAATGCACATGAACAGAAGAGGTTGTCCGTGTGCGAGTCCTACTGCTGCTCCCCCTCGATGAATGGTGTTTCCATCCCTCTTCTTCATGGGAGAGGGGTTCTGGGGATGAGGTAGTTTGTCGGTTGTGCGGGAGATAGTAGGGGTTGTTGGACTCGGAGTAGTGGTGGTGGTTATCCTCATAGGCGGGGAATGCGGCGGTGGACATGTTGCTAGACACGGAGTTGCCGTGTGACCGACCTGTGAATATGGGCTGGGGTTCGTCAAGTTCTGACTCGGCGCTCGACCAACGGTCTAGCTTTTCGTTCAGGGGCTCTTCCTCTGGTTGAGAACGGCGTGAGTCGCCGTGGACGAGGCCGAGTGATTCTTCCTCAGTTGCGTCCTTGCGCAGATCGGGTGCCAGGTGCGTTCGGCGTAGGATGCCACGGGGGGGCGAACCTGGTGTGGGTTTGACGGAAGATTCGCTGTCGGTCTTCATACGGCCCATCATGTTGTTGAAAGAAAATTGGCGGCGGGTAGTGGTGGCAAGAGGTTCCGGTGCTAGTGATTCGGGCTTTTCGTCTGCCCATGATATAGACCGCGGCGTATCGCTACGTGGACGGTTTGCGTTGAACACAGCCTCCACACCTCCAGCCATACCGGCACCATGGTATTCGGTGTCAACATTGCCACTTTGGTGTGCCATGTCTGTCATTCCCATCGATTGGGTGTTGGCGTTAGAACCTTTCTCGTCTTCTGTATTTACAGGCTTCCATTGGGAATGATGAAGCACGCTAGTTGCCCGAGATCGAATGTTATCCATAAAAGAATGACCGCTTTGCTTGGTGTTAGGTCGGTGGTCGTCCTCATGCTCCGCAGCGGGCAATCGGGACATGCCCCACGGAGGATGTTGTTGTTTGACCGAGGGTGTTCGCGGAGTGATTGGTCGTGACATAGTCGGTCCCTCGCCAATAACAGTCTTGCGCCGGCGTAGGCCATCCCATTCAATTATCTCATTCTCGCCTGGCACTGTCAGGGTATCTTCATGCTTATCATGAAAGAAACGGCGGGCTTCATCCGATTCCATAGTGCGGCGAGCAGTTGAAATGCGACGAATGATAGAGGCCGCACCGCGAATGGAGTCCGCTTTGGGCTCAAACTCGGGCTCTTCTACCTCGGCAACCTCCCGAATCTGATCTAGATCGCCCTTGAAAATAGCAGCATCAGGAACGTCCTTAGCGGACTTGGATAGCTGCAGCAATACCACACCGGCACAAATTTGTAAGAACCCAATGATCACAGTTGCAATCTGGATTCCCGTGCCCTTGAAACCCTGGAACAAAATGGCGGAAGTAATAATGGTAGCGCTAGTGAATAGCACATAGTAAGTCGGAGTGACCAGAGCGGCATTGAAAAGATTCAGCGCTTTCTGTATAGCTGGGTTAGTACATAGCCATGAGACACGAGAAGAGTGAAGACGTACATTGAGATAAATAATCTCAGTCAGCAGTGTCCCAATAACAAACACAAATAAGACATAGAGGAACCAATGCTTGAACTGCTCCTCGCCATTAATCTGAGCAAGAATAGCAGACCCCAAGCCCTGGGTAGCCACAACACTCAACCCACCAACCATGCTGCAAATACCGATATAAACAAACATGCTCGACTTTCCATAGCGTGGACCAACCCAAAGAGCCGTACAAGCAGCCCCAATAATTATCAAGCCAGCATAGACCAGAAACCCAGGCTGAATAACAAAATGCTGCATGCCCTGAATATCCTTGACGGAGGACTGCTCAGGCGCATTCATAGCAATCGTCACGGATCCAATGATGCAACAGAAACAGCCAACCTTCCCCACGAAACTAAGCCGTTCCTTGAGGAAAATCGCCGACAGAATCGTCGTAATCACAACCGAGAGCGCACCAAGCGGCGTAACCAAAATCGCATCGACGAACGCATACGCCACAAAATTGCAGATCTCTCCAACAATCATCAGCGTCATGCCAGTCCACCACCAGAAGTTCTTCAGATATCCATATCCCTCGCCGGCCTCCTCATTGTACTTCACGTTCGCCTTCAACAGCCCGATTTTCTTTACCACGAACGAGATACCGATGAAGACGCCCGATGCGACAGCTAGCGATACACCGACGGCCTTGTACACTGGTGGGCGGCCTGAAGATTCTGCGCGCGCGAGCAGGTTGTTTGCATGTGACAAGGCGGAATTGGGATCCATGATTGTGGAGACTGGAGATTAAAACCACACTGACCAGCAGTGGGAAGAGACGGGGACAGAGAGTCGTCCGAAGACGAGACCCAGCGACTATTTGAAACACTTAGTGGTGCTGCCGCGATATCGATAAAGACTGGGCGTATCGCCGGGGCGACTATCAACGAGGGACGTCAACAACGATTCCGAGTCGCGGGATCGCAACGACCTTTGTAATAGGGGAATAACTGCGATTTAGAACGGCGATCTGGGAATGCTTCTGGAAAATGTCCACGAGGGAAGGAAAAAGGTGGGATTCCGCAAGGGGGAATTTCAGCCGTTGGCGCTATGACTCTAGCACTTGACAAAGTTCGGATTTTGAGGGTATCAAGAAAGTGGAATCTATTTCAGACAAAGAATCAGAGAATCAGAGAAGAATGGAGAAAAAAACTACATTAAAGAAAATAATAAAGAAAAGGGGAAGGGGAAGAGGAGAGGGAAAGGGATCGAGATGGCTGGGGGGCTGTGTGGGGAAAGGAGGTACCGGTACTTCTAGCGACGAGGCTTGTGCTGCGATCGGCAGGTACCGGTACCTTTGGACGTCGGCTTATATTGCTTGCAGTAGTTTATGGAGTCCTCTGAACAATATACGCTAGCATATACATTATTAAGGGACAAGTCACCTGTCTTTACGGAGAATCAAGTACCTATATCGTAGTGGATGTCTATGTAGATGAGAGTGCCATGCTGGTTCTTTTTCCCCTCACAGGTATGTATACAGACTATCAATTCCCACATTTGAATCTTCATAAATGTCATCATTCATTATGCCCGAGCGAGGCCAGCACTGGCCATCTTTCGCAGTGGGTCAACTAAAATAAAAACCCCATAAATAGAATTACATGCCCCCAGACGCCCTCTCAGCCTTAATCAACCGTCTCAACAGAGGGTATTCAGCAGGAAAGACACAAAAACAACGTAATGCACATGTAAAGAATTGAAAAAAAAGGTATCGAGATGAAAGCAGGTGAGAAGGGATCACCGTACGTGGTAGCTGGGCTTGCGTTGCCGGTTCACCGTTGGTGGTGGCTCATCAACTGGGTAGGGAGGTCGGACTTTGATATTCGAGGTAGAGGTAGAGAAAGGTGCTTGGGAGAATAGCGGCGCGGGCATAGACACGCCGCCGCCATCTTCTTGAGCTGGGTATGGGATAGGCGTCTTCGGCGGCACCGGTGGTGCCATGCCATTGAAGGTTGTAGAATAATCATCACTGTGGGAGGGCAAGCTCTGTTGTTGCGAGCTTGGTCGGCTTGAAAGCTCGTGGCTTCGACGATAATCACTGCCAGATTGCCGAGGCGAGGAAATAGATATATTATCCTGAGGTGTTGGGTGAGCCGGGAGCGTGCTATCCGTTGGTGATGTAGTCACTACGGTTGGGATGGGTGGCGGCGCTTGTGAAGGTGTAGGGTGATGTGCGCGGTTAAGAAACTCCGCAGGTAGCTCCGCAGGTAGTTCGACAGCGAAGTGCGCAGGGGGCGGAACATGTGATTGAATGGGAGGAGAAAAAGAAAGCTCTTCAGTCTCAAGATCAAAAGATAAGTCGTCGCGATCCCCGCCAGCTGCGGCATGGCTTGCCAGACGGCGGTTCATCCGATCGATCTTAGCAAATCTCACACCTGCATCTAAAATCATCTTCTTGACTTCGGGCCTGGCCAGATACTGTCGTGTATTGGTGCTGATATCGGCTAGCCGGTTCCATTCGTTCATACCAAATTCGCCAACGCCAACCTCGACGTTGAGGCGGAAATAATTGTCTTTGCTGACATTGCGTTTGGCGAGACGGTCTCGAATCATATCATTGTGGATTCCCTCGCAGCCCTCAATCTTCGTCATTAGTCGACGCCGCGCTTCAGCAAATGTGCCCAACGAGTCGCCGAAGAAATCCTCCCACCATTCATGTTGTCGGTTATTGGTACCAGGTGGGCGCTTTCCAGTCCCCACGCTGATAAAGACCCCAACTTCCCGACCTGGCCACTCATTCATGACAGCTTCATCAAGTACCTGCGGTGCGGGGTTGAATGTGCCATGACCCTCGTCAATAAAATGATTTTGACCAATCTGGATAGGTTTGAAAGCAAGCCCTGTCGCGGATGTCGCGCGTCCCGCTTGCCAGATAGTGCAGTCAAATTCAGGCGGAGGTTCTCTGCGGGAGTCGTATGATCGGAGAAGGACAGCCGATCCCTTGCGCGGGGTGCCCTTGTACATAGCAGTGACCGCGCTATATTTCATATTAGTACCAGCGACACATGTCTTCGCATTGTAGAACTCACGTTTTTGTCCGATTTTCTCGATTATCATAGAGCAGTGCGTCTGGATTACCCCAACGCAACCCATTAAGAAAAACGGAGCCTCTTTGGCTTGTCGGGGACATTGGATGCGAAGCAGCAGCGGTGCTGAAACTGGCCCGACTGATAGAGCGTTGCGGAATAGAGGCTGGGCTGTATGGTAAGCTTGCCATAGAAGCCATAGAATCATGATTCGGCCCATTCCCCGTGTCGTTTCCCTCCGCCTCGAACACGGTATGTTCCCGCACACATTCGCGGATCGCCTCCTCGAGCTTCGAGGCCTTGAACAAAGTCGAGCGATAGGGAATACCAGCGATGGTTTTGTCGGTCTCAAATACTTTGCGGGTCATACGCACATATACCTCCTTGCAAGTCTCGAGATCCAGGCGGAGGCGACCGAGCATCAGCGCAATCAAGCCGCCAGTGCCGGTACCTGCAATCAAGTCGAAGTGATCACAAGGTTTGGGAATCTGGTCGCGACGCGGAGGCTTGCCTTCGCATTCAACATAAGTGCGGTACATGAGTTCCTGAAGGAGAATAAGCATGGAGTAGCCACGAACACCACCGCCATCTGTTCAGGTCAGCTGAGTCTGATGTACGCCGGGAAGAGAGATAATACTAACCTAGCGACAGAATCCGCAGCGGAGGACCCTTGGTGGTGTCCTTGCGGCGCAGATTGGCTGGATCCATGGGGATTATAACAATTATGTTTTGGAACGATTGCGATCGCTTTTTTTTTCTGCTGCGCCAGCTTACCCGCGGCGGGGCTCAGCGATACCTTCCTCAACTATGCACCGGATCGCGGGATAATTGGCGTTTTGGAAAGAGGTAGAAGCGTGAGGTAGAAGCGCGGGGTAGAAGCGTCACGCAGGTGAAACACACAAGTCGAATGCAGCTCTGGTTGGGTGCGTGACAGGTCAATGTGAGAGTCGCAATTTAAAGTGGACTCCAAATAGGCAGCGGCGTATGCGTGATGATTGGAGGGGCTTGAGCCACAGTCCCTGAATAGTTCGGTAAGGCTGGACTAGCTTGACCACAACGCAATGTATAAGATGAGTCGCACAAGTCACTGAATAGAATCGGCAAACGAAGAAGAAACGGGGGTTCAAAGTTATTGCAAGTTATTCTTAGAAACCGAATCCAAGTCCACATTTAGTTGCCTTTCCATGGACCAAGACAGTCAGGTGACTAATTGGGGCAACTGGTGGCGGTGCCCGGGTATGATGTAATTGTGGCTGTGTGTTTATCCCCCAATTAAATTGATTTCTTATGCTTCTCACTCGGGACTCACCTACGATGTAGTTTGATGCATAAGAATATAAAAAGAGTCTGTATTGTTTCATCATCAAGACTTGGACAAGTCAGAGGATAAAGAAAGGCCCGAAATCTGTATACATAGTGCAATTCCAACCTCCACCATGACGTCAATTCCCCGGATATCTATCTACACAATACCGAGATGTCCGTGTCGATGTACAACCGAAAGAGAAATGTATCTATTTTCAATTTGTCAGGCCAGGCCAATCTACAGAACCCAGTAAATCAGCGTTCACTCTCATAATTTGCTTGGAAAAAAGCAGAAACACTCACCAGTAATAGACCTCCTAGTTCCCTTCTCGGCAACCGTAACCTCATCCCCAACCCTCAGAATAATCCCCTTGCCCTTTGGCTCCAAGAAAGCATACCTACCAAAGACGGGACTAAACTTCGCCCCAGAATCTACCCTGCGATCCTTCATCAACTTCTTAAGCACAGCACCAGACTCACCAGTCCCCATCTTCCCAGTCTCGTAATCAACATTAAGGCTTTGACAGCGTACACAATTCCCCGTTAGCAACAGCCTAGTCGCCCCACGCCCTGATCCAGCGCCCACGGTCAGCGCACGCCAAAAGTCCTCTTCGAAAGCCTCCGCAGCCCCCGAAACAACGATATTAGGCCGGAACTTCGTGCGGTCCATAATTTCCCCGTCCGGCAGCCGCGCTGAGACATTATCCACGGATGTCTCGGAAATGACCAGATAAGGGGCGCAGTCGGCGAAGGTAATGCGGTTCTCGTGCTGCGCATGCAGAGTGCAGAAGTGATGTAGCACTAGCACCACCACACTAGCAGTGAAAAGGAGCGTGGGCGTCAGACTGCGAGCTGCTTGGGGAGTTGTCCCGTCGCGAACGAGAGTACCGCTCTGAAGAAGGATGTTGATCGCGGATGCTACAATGAAAATCGGGAGAAACCGTTCCCATTTCCTGTCGGGTCTGGTTAGGCTTTTGCGTATTGTGCCCAGCGCCGTCTTTTTGTCTTGCTGTGCTGGCGCGAGTGTGCCAAGCACCTCTCTCGAATGCGATCCAATGTAGGCTAAAACTACGGGGTACCCGAAGCAGGCGCTAAACCAGTCGTTATAGTCTGCGCCCATGTTGTATCCTGTTGTTGGGCTCTGGTGCATTACGACCTTGACAGGGCTGAGCCTTTTCGGATTGGGCTGGAGTGGGATTTCTAGTCGGGTGATTTCGCGGGGTTTGGGAGCTGAGTCCGACAGAGGAGGGTGGTATGTTATAATTAGTTTCCCGCTGTCCTTTTCTGTCTGCGGATACTCGATATCGGTGTGGAAGAGGGCCATCTCTGGGAAGTGCGGGATATGCATGTTTTTCAAGGCTGTGGTGCCGGAGCCATCCTCGGTTGGGATGACTTTGAGGAGCATGAAGTGGCGGTCATATTGAAAGCCGCGTGCCGTGAACAATCCCTCTGTGATTGTTGTTGGTCGGAGGGATTTAATAGGGTAGACATAGAGCTGACAATGGGTTAGTATTTTGATTTCCGTCTTCAACGTAATTCCGTGTTCTTACCTGGCTGACTTTCATGATTGTAGGTGGGAAGTCTTGCTGTAGATGAAGAAATAAAGAGCAGTATATCGTACCCCGATGCAGCAGAAAATAAAATGATGACACCGTTCCCCGGTTTCCGTCTCGAATTAGACTTTGCGGAGTAAAGTCCACACTATATATATTCCACCAGGAAACTTGATTCTTACACTTGTTCATTTCTAGTCTTAAATGAAATAAAAAGTCTTCAATCATATTCGTTTCGAAATCATGCAAGGAGATATACAGAGGGAATCAAAAAAAAGAAAACGTCTACTGGTCATCAGCCCACGGCAAGCTAAAGGTACCAACCCAGTCCTCGACCTCTTGACGAAGAACAACAATCTCCGAGATCTCCTCACCCCCACCCACGTACTCCAAGAAGGCCTTAACGGTATTAGGGTTCTTGACACCGCGGGACTGAGCTGACTCACGGGCAGCCTTGTCCAACTTCTGGGTGATGGTTACCGCGCGATCGACGATATCGGCGACGCGGGTGAAGTCCTCGGGTTGGAAGCCACGGGAGGTCATGGCTGGGGTTCCCAGACGCAGACCGCCGGGCTTGAGGGCGGACTTGTCACCGGGCACTGTGTTCTTATTACTGGCGACACCGCACAACTCGAGAACGCGCTCGACGCGAGCACCGTCCACACCGCGGTTCTTCAGGTCCAGCAGCACCAAGTGGTTATCGGTGCCACCGGACACAATGTTGTAGCCGAGTCCACCGTTGCTGGTAGAATCACCTAGGCGATCGGCTAGAGCAGAGGCATTAAGAAGCACTGTCTGCTGGTAGGCCTTGAAGTCGGGCGTCTGAGCCTGCTTGAGAGCCACGGCCAACGCGGTGATCGTGTGATTGTGAGGGCCACCCTGGTGGCCCGGGAAGACGGATGCGTTGATGGGGTTCTCGAGATCGTACATGATGGGGTTGCCCTTCTTGTCGGTGCTGCGCACGCCTTTGCGGTAGAATATCATGGCGCCACGCGGGCCACGCAGAGACTTGTGGGTAGTAGTCGTCACGACATCTGAGTAGGGGAAGGGAGATGGGAGCACGTCAGCAGCCACGAGACCCGAGATATGGGCCATATCGGATAGCAAGTAGGCGCCCACGGAGTCGGCGATCGCGCGCATGCGTGAGTAGTCAATCAAACGGCTGTAGGCTGAAGTACCCGCAATAATCAGCTTGGGCCGGTATAGGGTGGCCGATTTCTCCAATGCATCGTAGTCGATCAGGCCAGTCGACTCATCGAGGCGGTAGGGGAAGGTCTCGAAGTATTTGGAGATAGCAGAGATCTTCTTGGTAGGAGTCTGATAGCCGTGGGACAGGTGGCCACCGTGGGGAAGGTCTAAGCCCATGAGACGGTCGTGGGTGTTGAGTAGGGCGGAGTAGGCCATGAGATTAGCGGGTGAGCCGGACAAAGCTGGAATGAGTTAGTCTTCGCATATTTAATTATATCACGTCAACTGGTTCATACGTTGAACGTTCACTCCCCATTCCTCCGGGTTCAGACGGAAGGTTTCGAGGGCACGCTGCTGGCATAACCGCTCGGAGGCATCAATAAATTCGTTTCCTCCATAGTATCGGGCACCGGGGTATCCCTCGGAATATTTGTCTAAATTGCGGTTAGGATAGTCTGTCGAGCAAGCAGAGGCGGCCACCCGGAGTACGTACTTTGCATAATACTGCCAAGGGCATCGAGAACAGCTTGCGATGTGAAATTCTCCGAGGGGATCAGGTTAATGAAGTGCTTTTGACGGTTTTTCTCCTGTGATAGTTTTAGCACCTGGTCGTTCGATTGGTGAGCTCTATATCCAACGATGACGCACCTGCTGTAGGATGTTATAAACGGTGGGGTCGGACTCCTCTAGGGATGCCGCGAGCAGCTATCAAATAGTCAGTCTACATGTTCCGCTTGCCATTGAATCGATTCTGGCCGCCAACCTTGTGCTGCGAATCGCGAGTGGACGACGCTACTCCCCGCGATTGAGGAGCTAATCTGGGCACGATCGAGGCGCGAGCGGAGACAACGGCTGCCCGGGAGCTCCCAAGGGGAAGCAAGCGAGCAGCGGATCTACCACAGCGAGACAAATACATGATGAAGCTGAAGAAGGTCAATTCTCAAGCAGGGTATTATGTACTTAGCCGATAGGAAAGCCACGGCTTTTAAACGACTGATGCTTGTCGGACGAGCACTGGCACCTTTCCGTTGCCCGCGGAAAGCGGGAAAATGCGCTATTCCCATTCGAGCTCTCCGCCTGGTCCGTGCGTCGGCTGTTGGTTTATCTTCGCCCGGCAAAACTTTTCCCTCCTTTCCTTCTTCACACAACTAAATCCAAGATGAAGAAACGGCGTTTTAATCTGTGTCAGCACTCGTCGGTGACGGCTGGACTTCGGTCTAGCTGGCGCTGGACGGGCGCTGCTGAAAGGTCCCACGCCTCTTAACCATCCTTTGAGGGGCCAGTACTTATCGGATTGGAATTGTTGTGTTGGTTCACCTCCAAGGCAAGGTCAGGATTGATCTACTGTGCTAAATCCACATCTCTGAACCCCTTCGCGACAATGTTTTTTTGCTGTCTCATTGTCGACACTCTAGTACAACGAGGACGTACGATCCGTATGCTCCGAGTGACTCTCGAGTATAATTAGTTTAACAGTATATAGTCGCTACTATTCTTAACACGATTTAACTAGCCCCTTCCACGACCCTGACTCGCATTCCCCTCTTGCACTCCACCCTCACAATAGACAATTGGCTAGAACAACTATACTGTCCAGCAAGGGGAGGTGTTGATGCTCATGTATGTTCTACCTAGTTAGGTAGTTAATTAGGGCTTCGATGTATGTAAGTACGATCTTAGAATTTAAGGAAGTACTTAGATAACTATGTACATATTGAATTAGTTAGACGTAATCTACTGGAGATTGAAGACTGGTCACTCAAAAGATATCTACAACATACAAAATAGGATACGGAGACTCCGTACAAGACACCAAATGCCTATTTTGGAGATCTATTTTGAGGTCTTGGCATAACCACAGAATAAGAAGTCATTTACAATATAGATATATACTCCGTACGTTCAAGTTACTCCGACCCTGGATCATTAAATTACAATCGCCAGTGCTAGCCCATCAGTGCCTAAATGGGAAGGGACGGCCTGGTCCCTGGAGCGTGCGCTTAAGGTGAGGAGGAACGCTAGGGAGGAAGTGACTTTAGCCGTCGTATTAATTTGGCTGTACAATTAAGTACCTCCCATGTGGCTCCAATCCACTTTCGTTGTTTATTTTTCGCTACTCTCTTATTGCCACTCTATCTGCCCCTTTTCCTCAGTGTGTGAGTGGCAGCGGGTACCTGAATCTCATTTAAATTAATCTACAGGATTGGTTATAAACTCTTCTCCCCCCCCTTCTTTCCTCTCTCTTTCTTCCACTGCATTCTCTAAATCCCCGGTTTTCAACCGATTACATTCTTTTGAATCCCTGTCATTCTTTTACATACCTCATCTTGGAACATTTTCGGAACCATTCCAACTCTATCAACTATATCACAATGCGTTTCTCTATTGCCGCTCTCGCTCTCGGTGCTACTGGTGCCATGGCCGGTGTTGTCACCGAGACCCTCACCGAGTACACCACCTACTGCCCTGAGGCTACCTCTATTGTACACGGAAGCCACACCTACAGCATTTCCACCGTATGTTTTCCTGAGCAACAAGTCTTCGCCGCATACTAACAGCATTCCAGCCCGGCTACATCACCATGAGCCACGGTCCCTACACTGTCACCCGTCCCATCTCGACCTCCACCGTGACTGAGTGCAACTCCTGGTAAGGATTTCTCTATATCCAACGTGACCAATTAATTTAATCTAACACATTACTTAGCTCTTCCACCGCCGTGGTCTCTACTCCCGTGGCCTCTGCTCCTGTGGCATCTGCTCCCGCGCCCTCTGCTCCCGTGGTCTCTACTCCCTTGGCCTCCAGCCCCGTGGCCAGCAGCAGCACTCCCCTCATCCCCGTCGTCCCCAGCGTCGTCACCTCCACCCCTCTGGTCCCCACCGCCGGCTCCACTGGCGTGCCCAGCGTTCCCTCCAGCCCCTCCAGTGCTCCCTCCAGCCCCTCCAGCGCTGTTACCCCCTCCCAGCCCGCCTTCAACACCGGTGCCATGAACGCCGCTACCGGTGCTGGTGCCGGTTTGGCTGCCATCCTTGGTGCCGTTGCTCTCCTGCTGTAAAGCAGTTGATTGTCAATGGCATCATGAAGAGATAGCATTGTGACTGGTGTTATCGCTTTGATGAAAACCACACGATGCTGTCGGGTTTTTACGGCTGTGGGTTCTTCTGGTGTATATGTCTTGTCTACGTCTTAGATAATACATAATGAGCCCTCTTGGGTTAACTTTTCATGTCTGCCTTTCTTGTGGAGCTTATCTTTTCTTGTTTTTTTGCGCATTATTCTCCTGGACATAGCGCGTTTTATTATATTCACAAATTTAACTTCGATCAAGAATGATCTCTTACTTTCTACTTATTTTACTTGCACTGGACCCCGATATTCTACTTGTACTTGTTTTGATGTATTGCCATCGGAGTATAAAGATAATCATTCGATGATCATGATATGTTAACCCACAGGAGTGTTCATCCAGAGATTAGTGCAATCCGAGCCTAGGAGGATGTGAGCAGAGCAGACCATATAGTTTGGGTTGCATGAACGGACCGATGCTTGGATTTCACTTATACAGTGACGAGAATGGAATGTCGAATATCTTGCAGATTAAGTCGTAGTCATCACCCTGCGTTAGGTTGTGTCGATTTAGTAGGTTGCCGTCAGCTCTTGGATTTACGTGAACTGACCTTCTATGGTCATTCCCAATAAGACCAGCAAGCCATGAGCGTGGAGATCTTTTAACCACGGGTATTTCGGTAGAATTCTACATCGTGCATACCAATAGGTGATGAGACTGATGTAAAAGCAAAATATATAAATATACACAAGTTATTGACATATATGTGACTCAAGCTAAAATTTTGTCAGTGCTATCATTGTCTCTGCGGTACAAATATGTACGTTCTTCATCCACCTTAAACGATCGGTGGACGGAGATATCTTTCGTGCCAGCTAACGGATTGGGATTTCCATCATGGATGCTGTGTAGCCGGTATGAGTGTTGCCCTCCAGTATTTTTGGGCTGGAACCTATTCATAGGTGTGTCCTCTGTGAGTTTCGCAGTACGGGGCGTGTGCGATGGGGATAGCGAAAGCCGCGGTAGATATATCGATATTAGGCGCTTGAACCGCATTGCACAGGCGCATATGATACCGAGGTTGACCTCGACAAGGGACCACACTCCTAGGATGGCTTCGGTATAAGTTGTGTCAGCGGTTTTGCCGAGGAGTAAGACGTATGGTAGGCGTGCTATGGAGCAAATGACGACACTGGGGTGGGGATTAGCGGCAATCATGGCATCAGAACAATTCAAGAATGAGGGAAAGCGCACCTAGATCCCAAAGTCAGCAGACAGCCGACCGTGACCTTTTGTTTCTCTGAAAAATGGAGACGGTGTATCGTTGGGATCGGGATGGCAATCACTGCCAAATCAGAGGCAATGTTCAGAACTGCCTGGGATAAGGCGACATTTTCTAGACAGGCTGTGGTTCCTGCATGGAGAGGGTTACATGGTCCTCCGGTGATGATGCATAAGGTCAGAGTGTACGCAAAGATCGCCAGTGCGACAGCCACGACGAGGCAACGATATATCTTCGCAGGATTGATTTGAAATAAGACAGATAGAATGGCCATCTTGGTGATGCATGGACATATCAAATAAGTCAAGGTGTTGATGAGTAGACCCTGCATCTTGTTAGCCAATGTGCTAGGGTATGCAAATAATGTCTTTACTTTATTAAACTCCATGAGATCTTCCAAGTTAACATTCCACATGTGCTTTCCCCAGCCATAGTTCATTACTATTTGAGTCAGATTATACCTTAACCCGAAAGATAGTCACGGGAGACTTGCAGTTAACCACAGTCACAAAATATACCAGTGCAACACCATAAGAAATCGTGATAGTGACTATCGAGTAGAATAAGTGTCTAGCAGAGTGTTGAAGAAGTTGGTCTCTTACTCAAGTCTATCTCGATCTTCTTGGTCAGCTTGAAAGCCTGGAAATAGCGAAGAGCGAGGAAAACCGTGGCAATGAGATAGGTGATGCCAAAGGCGATGACAGTCCCTATTTGCAACGAGTTATAGGGTTCATGGAAATGTGATTCCTGGCCATCTGGCGGCGGTATTCCTGGGGTCGTATCCAGATCCATTGTATCTGATTGTGGAGTTAATTAAATCTATATCAATATAGGTCTTCTACCCCTATATACTATTGTATAAAACCCCGTCCAGTGTTGGCAAATTTCTTGCTACGCGGGCTAGAACATTGTCAACAGTTGATCCAGAACCGTAGCAAACCACTGTAGCCAGTAATATCGGAGGTTCGTAAAATCCAAGTGGAGTCTCATTTGCCCTAGCTCATCCTGCGACCAGAGCTAACTGCTGTAGACTATCCTTTCTTAGCCTATAACAAATATACCTTTCTATCTCCTCCACAAATGGTACTTATTTCACGCTAGCAAAAAGTATCATGAGAGGAGACTTGTCAATTCTCAAGTAGAATGAGTGGAGATCGACACTAGTATAGTGCACATTAGATCTAGCCTTCAAAGAAAAACGAAATGGCCCCCGCGCCATGTTTTTGCCTGCAACTTAGAATAGGGGTTTCCAGCTGCATAATGCATGTGATTATTCTTTTGTTCAAAGAAGTATTTTGCAGTAATCTTTCTTTGAGGCAGCCTGGTTTCTGTTCGTGATAGAGCAATTCACACCATGAAAATGCCGTTTTGGCGTCAGCCCACCATGGAGCCAATTCCGGGCGATCGAGTGGTTCCACTCCATTTCTTCGAGGATAGTTGGCTTGTCCAGGGTAATAACATGGCTGTATCTCTCGTGTTTGATGCAGTGCTCGACCCAGAAATATTGCGCGAATCCCTTGAGGGCCTCGTCAAACGAGAGGGGTGGCAAAGGTTAGGAGGAAGACTGAGGAAGAATGTAAGAATGGGCCATCTGCAAAGAGAAAATCTAGGGCTGCATAAACATATGAAGTGCCCACGGGTTTATACTAGTTAACACTTTTGGCGTTACCAAATAGGCCGCAGGTAAGATCGAATGGCACATTCCAGCCCAGTTCTCGATCGGCAGACCACCAATATCCTTCGCCCATGTCAATCATGGCATACCTGCCGCTTTACACCCGACGGCCTCTCGAATCCCGAAGCCGCAAGATCGGCCCTGTGTTGTTAGCGACCCAGATGACCTAGAAGGCCTGGCGTGGGAGCCTGGGTACAAGCCCAACGGGATAAACGACTACCTCACCTCCGACCTTCCTGTCTTAGGGTTGCGCGTCAACTCTTTCACCGATAAGACCGTCGTAGTGCTCCAATGGCAGCATGCTGCCTTCGACGCGCTGGGCATGCAGTATGTCGTCGCAGGATGGAGCTCCATGCTTTGGGGAAAAACTGCCGAAGTATTGATCCCATGTGGTATAAACTCGGATCCATTCCACTCTCTCGCCCAGGGGTCGCGCCCTACGACCGAGGAACATGTGTTGACTGACAGGAGGGTCGGGCTAGGAGGCTTGCTGCGGTGGGGCTTAGGTTATGGGGTCGATATGCTTGTCCGAGCCAAGGAGAACCGCATGGTCTGTATTCCAGAGACATATTGGCGGCCGCAATGGGAGAAGGCTGTAGACGAGCTTTGTACTGAGGCGACTGCGAACGGCGAAGACCCATCGAAGGTCTTTTTGACTGAGAATGATGTTCTGACGGCCTGGATTTTACGCTGTGTGGTTGGCGAGATGGGGATGAACCCTGAGAGAACGGTAAACTCCAATACTGTAACCCTGTTAAATAAGCTACTCACACTACACCCTCCTTAGGTAGCTACATCAATCGCCATGTCACTCCGCAGATCTTTTGAGGGTGACCTCCTGCCTGCTTCCACCGAGCATCCCTACGTTGGCAACGCTTTCGGCTGGGCCAACGTACTTGTTACCGCGGGCGATGTAACTTCCAAGCCGCTCAGCTGGCTCGCACAGCAGGTCCGGTGCGCTATCAACGAGCAGGGCACGCGTGCTCAACATGAGGCATATTACGCCATGGTTCGCACATCCGGAACCGGTCTACCTATTATCGTATTTGGAGATGGTGGCATGGCGCAGGTCGGCTTCTCCAATTGGTCGAAAGCTGGCTTGTTCAACTTAGATTTTTCCCCGGCTCGTCAGGGCCCTAAAGACGACAGCATGCCGTGCAGGCCTTCATATGTTCAGGAGAATCACGGCCCTGTGAAGCCTGCGGACGGGTTTTTTATCCTCGGAAAGGATGAGAAAGGGAACTACTGGACTTCTGCATGTAGGGTGAAGGGTCAGTGGGCAAAGTTTGAGGAGCAGCTGAAAGATTTAACATAGTTACCTGGTTCAACATGAGTTAGGTGCATCTGGTGACTTCCAGATATATTGATGAAGCAAACATATATATACATCTCTCTTTTCATTTTAACCTTCGAATCTTCACGATCCTCGATAGTCAACTAGGTAATTTCTAGTTTTCATTGTTACCATAACCACCAATCCCTCTCTTTTATCCCCGCCCTCACACGATCCCCATCCCTTTTCTCCCTACAACATTTCAACCCTAAAGCCAACATTGATGTTTGTTACTCTATGAGTATTGAATATGGATATTTCCCTCTCTTTTCTTTCAAGTTGAGCTACTATGTGCGAGACCAATTATTCACTGTTATTTTTCTCTTCTGTTTTTCTCATAGCTTTTCAGTTGATCCCTTTTATGTTCCTCATGCCTGACAAAAAAAGCCCGTCTCAGATCTGGTTTGAGCCCGCCTTCTTTCATGAGAAAGTCAAGATTAGCATATTGATAGAGAAATGCAAAGGCTGTTTACTTTTTAGCGGCCTACAGCATAATAGCCCATGCTTGAACTTGGTATCAAATTAATAAAATTTGGATTGATACATTGGTGTCTGATGGAAAGTATACAGCACATTCTACCACTAGACCATAACAAAAACCAAGGTTCCTGTTTAAGGCCTAGGGGCCTAATTCCTAGTTCGATAATGTGAAATATGAGACACTTGAATCTAGACCCCATTATGTATATGCATCTCACTCTCCCTACAACTGCTTCCAGGTATTGCCGTCATACATCAAGACATCAATTTCCTCCTGAGATAGGTGAGTGGTTGACTGGTCTTCAACCTGACGGAGAGCTTCCACGGACATCTGGCGCAGGGTTTCCATCCTCATTCTATCATTCGAGAGCCATTCATACTGCAATGCGTTCTGACCACCTAAGCGGTCGCCGAGCGCCTCATCGTGATCTGTGCAGGTATGGGAGAAACTGAAACTGCGCGGACTTTCTTGTGTGGAAGTTCGCTCATTACCAAGGGCACCGCTCCGATTTTTCATTGCGATTGAAAGGCTCCCAAAATCAGCCAAATTAGCAGGGATTCCTCTGTCAGCGCACCAATCTGAATTATCCTCCGAATCCAGAGACCCTTGTTCTAGGTTTAGCGGTAAGGGCAAGTGCGGGTCGCAAAATGAGTGCATTCTTGAGAGGCTTTTGTGGGGTTTCAACAGGTACGGCTCGCTCTCTGAATCAAACAATTCTTCACCACGTAGCTCCCTCACGAACTGTTTGCATCCTTGGATGTAATCTGTCATACCAGGATCGTCTTGTCGGTCATTATGCTGATTGCCATCACTATGCTCCTCATATTCACTGTCGTAATCGTAGTCTTCGTTTTGCAGTTCCTGGATGTCCTCGGACTCGTGGATAGTTCCTTCATGCTCACACCAGAGGCACAACTTTCCGTTGCTAGTGACCACCGGCTCGGTAGATCTGTGGGGTCTATTGGGGATATCAATGTGAAGGTCGTTCTGCGGACCGATGCTCTGGTCGATGCTCTGATCGGCGCTTTGGTTCGCTCTGTATCTTCCTTCGAAGGCTTGGTCCTGGCTCGGGGACAACAATGGTATTGGAGTGAGAGTCTCCGCAGTAAACAATGATTGGGAAAGCATTGGCACAGCGGGTCCATGCTAGGAGAATAAATCGTTAGCTTGCACGCAGATTGGACGTGTTCGAGGTCACTAACGGATGCAATATTCTGTTCGGCATCGGGCACCAAAGGACCACAGCGCGATGGGTGAGTATCGTCCTCCATCTTCTCATGTAGTTCGAACCGCAAAGTTTTGGCTGCAGATTTGATCTTTGTAATAATCTCCCCCCACTCGCCACTGGTCTCAAATGCGGTGTTGATATGCACACGGAGCCAGACTGGATCCCGTTTGTTTCTCATCCAAATCCATTGGGTGTTAAGGGTGGCAAATGGAACAAAGCCTTGAATGCCACGCTGTTTCAGATGGCTCCGAAACATGTAGGAAAATATTTCTGCGGTTTGTTTCTTGTTGCAAGTAAAGAATCGATATAAACAGCAGAGTACCTGTCGCTTGTATGGGTCCCATCGCATCGTGGGTCTCTTTGGGAACTTGGTTGGCTCCATCTTGGAGGGGGAGCATAGGATATAACAAGGAATGAAAGGTGGCAGTGGAGGAAGAATAACAAGAAGCAGAAGAACGGCCTTTCTCGCCTGTCAGCTCGAGAGGTTCAAGGGCAAACACTTTGAGTTTTACCTGATCTAGTCTACTTTTACATAAATATGTTCTATATTTGGCGTGCTTTAAGCTGTAATGTTACGCTGATAGCTCAGGGGAAGGAATATGATAGCGGGATATGCGGTCACGTGGGCGGTACGCCTACCCGAGAGGGTAAGATGAAGCAGTACATCGGCTATGGAAGGTGTCTATCTAGAAATCTATGCTTGGGGCAATCTTCGCTCACCTCGTCATATGTGTGCCCTTCAGACCACTCGGTGATCGGGATTTTGGAATGGGGAAGTTGACAAGGTGAATACCGGTCAGGATTTTAAGCTTGTAAACAAAAGGTGAGATCTCCATTGTGACCAGAGTGGAGACTTAAGGAGTTGGAAATGCAAAGGAGGGAGGGCAAGAGAGCTGGAAAGAATTCATTCCTGAATGCCTCCAGTGTAATATTTGATTACTACTTGATTAGCAGGGGAGTAAAGGAGGAGAAGGCTGGGAACTCGTGAAATATTCATGTCAGATGTGGTAGAAGTCAAATTGGGAGAATTCAAAGTCACGAGAAAGGGGAGAGAAGAGCGGAAGGAAGGCTCTCTTCCCTCTCTCTCTTGAATTCAACAAATCTACATTTCTTGCACAACATTGAAGATATTCTATACAAATCTCCATTTCCCTCGGATTTGACGTTGACGCTCTTCTTCTGACCGTACAAAGCTCCATCTCTCTCTAGTTCCTGGCGTTTAAGCTATTCATACCGCACGTCAATGTATGCCTCTACGGATTGATCTCGACCCTTTCAAATGCGAAATACTAAAGCCCGAAGCTAAATTTGTACGATCGGAACATCTTCAAACCACCCTAGACCTGGGGGAATACAGAGATTTGTATGATGGGAATAGCTTCATGACGGAAAATTGTGCAGCGTATTTCTATGACAATCTCCTACCTAGTAAGCAGAGTATCAGGATCCTTAAGAACGCCTTAAGGGCTTGAAACATGAAGCTATTCACACCCTACGTCCTGTTTTTCGTCGGGATCAATGAGGATCAATGACGATAAGGATATATAGTGGTATATACGGTTAGGGGGCAGTAGAATCGACGAGATTAACGATACATGGTCGATTGCCTCAAGAGGCTTTAACGCCTAGAAATGGGAGATTTTAGAAATTTATGTAGTGGGAATATCTTTGATATTACCCAGGACCTTCGTATAAAGGCGGTTTGTGCGGCCAGGTAGCTTTAAAATTGAGTCTATACGGTCGGTATAACTTCAATTCCTGGGTATATCACCCTCTGCTGAAGTATAGGCCACCAAATTATTGTTGTCTTTGCTCGAGCAGTGTAAACATGGCGGACACAAGCAGTTCGATAGTCCAAAACCCTAGCCACTACCGGCATCCGGAAGGTGACTATATCCAACATCCGGTGCAACTTGTATTCATAAATCTTGGGACAAATCCTCGTTATGAATATGAGATATGTATATCGTTGTCGAGTGTAAGAGTGTACGGCAACTGCGGGTGTAATCCCTGGAGATGACCAACCCTTTCTCCTCAGCTCTGTGAGAGCGAGGATGTAACGGGAAAGGAATGTGGAGATTTCGATTTTATATGAGGTGAGCCCAGCGTAGAGACCTTACCAGCAGTTTGCATTGAAATTGAGGCATAATGTTACACCAGTAGCTCAGGGGAAGGATGGTATGTTGTATGATGCTAGCTACGGCAGCTGATTATAGGGGCTGCCCACGATGTATTCTACAGAAGATTGATCGGACTTGGTTACTACACCTCAACTTTCTTGTCGAGTTAGAATGTTATCCATTTAACAGGATCCTTCGACTCATATATCGCTGAACTAAATAACTTATAACAAGATAAGCATGATGCTGAAGACTGTTAGCTTCTTTATGAACCCCTTGATGTATCGAAACATTCAAGTACTAGTCAAAACAGATCGCTCCAATGTGCCGCATAGTCACATCCATCTATCACTCATCTAAAGCTTCGCCTTGTCGACCCCATTTGCCTTCTCCTTCTCCTCAAAATATTCCCTAACCCTCTCTCTTGCAACAGAAACAACTTCCGCATCCTCAACGGTAGGCGGCACATTAATCTCCGCCGCATACTCCCCCTTCACCCCATACTCAACAAGCTCTCTAAGAACACGCCTAAGCGTCTTCCCACTTCGCGTCTTAGGGATCATCCCCCGACCCTGTATAATCCCACCCAACGACGCAATAGCCCCAATCTGCTCGCGGACCAGCGCGTTAACCTCGGCAAATAACTGCGGGGTCGGTGTTGCTGGAAGAGGATTGCTTTTTCCAGTGATTGGGCCAGCTTTGGGCTGGATGAATGCGAAGGGAAGGTGGCCTTTTAGCGGGTCGGGGATGCCGACGACGCTTGCTTCGCTGATCAATGGGTGCGAGAGAATTGCTTGTTCAATGGATCCTGTAGGAATTAGTCAAATCATTTATCCTTCAATAATCTAGAAAGCGAAAGAAAGGCAACTTCCTTACCGGTACTGAACCGATGCGCGGCAACATTGATGATATCGTCACTTCGCGACATAATATGCACGTAGCCATCCTCATCAACCATCCCCGCATCGCCGGTATCGACCCAGCGGCCATTGAAACGCTTAAGATACCCACGGTAAAACCGCTCCTCGTCCTCGAAGAGGGTCGTGAATGCCGACGGGGCGAGTGGTGGTGCCATAACGATATTGCCCATAGTACCGCGCGGGACTTCACTGCCCTCGTCATCGACGATGCGGACGTCAAACCCAGGCAGTGGGAAACCTGCTGAGCCAGGTCGGGTTGTGAGAGGAGAATGATCTGGCCCGGATGCCAGACTAGCAAGGGCAGCACTCCCATTCAATGCAACACCCGTAATCGGGGATCCAGATTCAGACGACCACCAGTTGTCAATAACAAGCGCACCATCCGCTGCATACTTCCGAAGAAGATCTTGATATGAGCTAACAATACCAGGCTCGCTGCGCTCACCAGCGAGGAAAAGGGCACGGAGAGATTTCAATCCCCCGCGCTTTCCGACCTCGCCGATAAGCTGGTCGTCCGGATCATCTTTCCGGATAGCTCGCATGGCAGTTGGTGCTGTAAAGAGGGCATTTACATTGTGTTTCTCGACAATGCGCCAGAATGTCCCTGCATCCGGCGTGCCGACGGGCTTACCTTCAAACAGGACCGTTGTGGCGCCGACTAACAGCGGTGCATAAAGGATGTAAGAGTGTCCGACGACCCAGCCTATGTCTGATGCGCAGAACATTGTGTCGCCGGGACCTTTGATCCCGAAGAGCGACTTTATGGAGAGTTCCAGACCCACGGCGTGCCCACCTGCTTCACGCAGGACGCCTTTGGGGAGGCCGGTGGTTCCTGTGGAAACGTTTAAGTATGAACAAAACAGATCAGGAATTGGGTTCGGTTCTGGGATTCACTCACCACTTGTATAGATAATATAAAGTGCATCCGTACTCTTAACAGGAACAGGTCCAGCCTTAACCCCACGGAATCGTGCGCTCTTAACGAGTCTCTGCCAATTACGCTGGCCACCGCGCTTATCGGGCTGATCCCAGCGCAGTTGGTCACGCTGCCAGACAATGATCCTGCTCGGCTTAAAGCTGCTTGCCTTGACGGCGCCTTCGACGAGTGGCCGATATGAAATGGGTCCCTTGGACCCCTCTATTCCACATGACGCTGTCATTAGAACTTTTGGGCGGGCGGCCTCGATGCGTTGTGCCAGAGCTTGCGGAGCGAAGCCACCGAAAACAGCGGCGTGAATTGCGCCTAGGCGGGTTATTGCCAACGCAGCTACTAGGGCCGCAGGGATCATTGGCACTAGATCCGATACGTAGTCAGCAGTGGGTTTCTGTCTTTAATCAATTCTCCACTTGTGGTGTGGTCACAATTGCATACTGTAGATAATAACAACATCGCCCTTCTTTACCCCTTCCTCCCTAAGTACACCGGCAAGAACCTCGACCTCATCGAGTAAGCGGGCGTAAGTATACTTCTCCGTTACACCGGTTACCGGTGATTCCCATACAATGGCAACATTGTCACCGTGGCCTGCGAGCACATGTCGGTCGACACAATTGTAGGTTGTGGAGATCTCGCCATCGGCGAACCACGACCAGTGCTCATGCTCGGTTCCGCTCGGGAGAGACTTTGTCTGCCGCGTCAAGGCACGTGAAGGCTTGCGGTGCCAGTGGAGTCTGGCCGCATGATGGGACCAAAAGGTTTCTGGATCGCCAAGGGAATGTGAGTGGGTTGTCGGTTGAGGGTGCGAAGACATGTTGGATAGGTTTCGGATTCAGTCTACAGAAATGATGAAGAGGCGAAGTTATTTGCCGGGATTGTGATTTGAGCCGAGAAGAGAGAAACAGCTCATACAAGACAAAGAATAGTACTCAGGAGCTCTGATATAGAGCGCTTCTACCCGAGGTGTTTCGGATCCAATATTGCGATTGGCACGGGAATATGGAAGGTAAGACCTGCAAGGCTCTGATCGGCAAGACATTTTAGGCGTTCGTGTGTGTGACTCGCCATTTGCGGGGAGAAGGTGAAGCTGAGATCCCCCGGATGCAGCCGAGGCGAGTCCGTGCTTTTTCCCCGCACTTTCTTCTGTACTCAGCTTGTCCCCAGCCTCAGAGTATACCCAGAGTATACCCGGAGTATACCTCATGCGCTGTCTCAAGTACGGCCTGGAATCGGGTACTGCACTTGTACTCAGGTGTACTTTTGCTTCGGATTTTCCAAATTATTACAACCGACTGAAAAAAAAGACCTTTATCAATTGTCTATATCGCATAAATGGCTGAGAAATTAATCAAATAAAACAAGCTCAGTCGTAGGGTATCATATCGAAATGCCTGCTAATGCGCGACTGCGATCTTCTGGCTTCGTTGCCTGGGGGGTGTTTTTTTTTTTTGTTTCTGTCGGGGTGCTCCAAGGCGTGTCCGAAAGATTCCTCCGTTCGCAACTTATCAAATAAGCAGAGACCGAAGAAGAGAGACGATTGGTAAGGAAAAAGAGTAAGCGGAGCTTGTGGAAATCCAGACAGCCAGTCTGCATGTCTCGGCGCATTTCGAAAGAACAAAACAAAAGCCAAAACAAAAAAGAAAAAATTTGCGCTCGAGGCTTGCAGACACTGGCCTCAAATCTCCACGTCGGTTCTCAAGCTCTTCAAAATGCGAGCGTAAAAGATGTAGCATGGCAAGGACCACCGACGCCGAACGAAGTAACCAAAAGATAGAACCACCCTCCAGATGCACCCGTGACCAAAAGGAAGAGAGGAAAAGAGAAAAAGGAAACAGCCATTATTTCAGTGAGCAAGAAATCCAACGCCTCCCGGACGGACCCGGCCGATCACAAGAGAGTACACTGGAGCCGACTGCGATGTCGCGATCGGTCAGGCCGGAAGGACTTGGGATATTCGGGGCCTGCGTCGCGATCGCGGCCCGATCCGAAGCCTGTTGGGCGACGGTCTGCGCCACGGCCACCTGCTGCCTGTTGTCGCTGCTGGCGCAGCATGCGGACAACGTCGTAGAAGGCCTTCTCCACGTTGATACAGTTCTTGGCCGATGCCTCAACAAACTCACATCCCAGCTCCTTGGCCAATGCTTGGCCTTCCTGTGCTGAGACTGCGCGCTCGACGGCCTTGTCGCTCTTATTTCCGACTAACATGACGGGCACGGGCATGGCGGGACCCGCGGAGGCGGTCATGGGCGAGTTCAGGTAGCTGGGGCCGGAGGGGGAACCGGAGCTTGACGATTCCTTGACCATCTTAATTTGGTTGTAGAATTTTGTGATGCGGGAGAAGGAGGCGCGTGATGTGATGCTATACACCAATACAAACCCCTCGCCATCCCGGATCCACTGGTCTCGTAGCGCGGTATATTCTTCCTGGCCCGCTGTGTCCAGCACCTCGAGCATACACGATTGTTGATCGATCACGACTTGTTTGCGATATGAATCCTCGATGGTTGGATCGTATGTTTCGACAAAGTGATTAAGACACAACTAGAAGGATAGGTTTTAGTCATGGGTCATGAAGAATTGTTGCCCAGAGGTCAAGGGCTAGGTCGACCAACCTGAATAGTAAGGGCGGTCTTTCCAACACCTCCGTCTCCCAACACCACCAGCTTGTACAACGTCATTTTTCCAGCCATGGCGGGCAACTGGAACTGAGAACAAGAAACAGCAAAGACAATCAGCCTAGAGAAGTCAGTACGTCTATAGCGATACCGTCTTGTCCACGACATACCTATAATTATTTCAGGGGAAAGAGGGGGGGATGTTCGAAGTCGCAAGGAGGGGGGAAAGGTGAGTGAAGTGGCCCACGTTCCAGGCGGGGGGGCGAAAAAGAAAAGCGGGAGCTTCCACGCGATTCACAGCAACCCCCAATTGTTGCCGGAAGAATGATGCAAAGGGGGAGATATAGAGCGAAGGGAAGAGAGAAAATGGAATTAGAGAAAAGAGAAGGGAGAGCCGAGAGACAAGAGAGAGAGAGGGGGAAGACCAGTGTGCGAAGTCTGGTCCGGGGGCTGGAACGAAGTGGAGAGAGGGGTTCAAGGGAAAGGGATATGAGGATATTAGGAGATTAGAATTAGAGTATAGAGAATATTAAGGAAAGAGAAATGTCGAACAGGATATCGAACAGAATAGAAGATAAAAATACCAAATTTATGAAAGAGAATGGATTTTGTACTTCTCCCGAGATCCCTATCCCCCGTTCGTTATTCTCTACATCGCTAACTCTGAGACCGTTTCGGATGTGGAAAGGAAAAAAATGAATCAGAGCTAGACCTATAAAAGGACATGAAAAATAAAGACATCGGAGAGTTCATTCTGACTGGTAGGAATCTTATAATTAGGGAGAAAAAGCCCAAGTGACAGCTCCATGAAGTCATACATTTTCTTTCACATTTTCTAAATATCCACATAGTGTTTCTAGGGCTGTGCTGATACTCATTCATTTATTCATTCTTTTTATATATTTACCTTGGGGTCTTCTGTTCACCCTTTCATTATCTTAATATACCCCAAAAAGCCATCTATATACTCCGTCCATCCGAAGATCTCTGGAACTGGACGCCCATTCCACTGAACCTACACCGGATCCGACGATCTCGGAGAAAATGAGCCAGAAGATACCCATATATACCCCAAAAAAAGTTATAACCCAAAGAAAGAAGAACAGAAAAGAGAGAAAAAGCCCAGGTCCCAAAGGTCCACAGTGAAAAGGAGAAGCGCACAGGGCACAGTGGATAATCCCGGATGTACTCCGTACTCCGTAACTTGGCTGAAGCTCATTTCCCTGCCGGCAGAAGCTGAGAGCTTCTTATTTTTCTTTTCTTCTTGTTTTGAATTTAACAATTTGGGCCGGTTCGTCTAGGTACAGCTCAAACTAAGGCACTGTGTACCCCAATCTACACGTGGGGGGGGGGCACGATCTATGGTTTCACTGCCCTACCATGAAGATGTATTATTTATTATGCATGGGATGTTCTCTTTATGTTGTACATACTATCTCAAGTCCTGCAATTAGAATGGGATTAATTAAATTAGTGTCGATGGTGGCACACGATGTCCCCATCTCCCTCGTGGTTTTTGAAACGTGGGAGTTCGTACTATCAAAGTATCCGTACTCCATACTCCCCTTACAATTATAACACCCTGGAACAAAAGTCTCCCTCTCTCCATGGCCCTGGGAGACGCTACCCGAATAGCGTAAGTCAAATGAATGTGGATTTGGGATTCCGGAACATCCATCTCTGTGACTGTTCAACGCCAACCTCGAACTAGTTCAGGATCGAGTCATGGCTCATGGCCACCTTAGATTGGCTCTCGTTATCGTCCCTTCCACGTTATACCCCCTGTCCATTCTACCCCTGTCACTGTCATTTTTCCGCTCTTGCGCATGCATCCGGTATACAACCTAAGATCTGGCCAATAGGTTCAAATAGCCTATAGTCACCGGTGAATGTCAAAGTCTTCATGCCATTGCAATGTCCACCCGTGGAGGGGCGCGTAAAAAGAAAAGTGTCCCCAATGATACATAGATCGTCCTAGGGGCCTTGCTAGCTACAAAGGTGGACAAGAAGACAACGGGAGGAAGTTCGGAAGGTGGGTATGTACTATGTACTCCTGTTGTATGAGTTCTTTTTTTTTTGAATTTGCTTGGCTTGAATTTTATTTTAATTTTTCTTACTTTTCATCGAACAAATCTGCTGCTCTATTTCCCTAGTAGGCAACTGGTTGGGCATCAACTCGTAGGATCCGGAATGGCTCCCTTTTCCCGTCCCAGTTCTGTGGCCGCGGGCCAGGGGAGGAGTTATATCGGGGAAACTGTTTCCGTCCACTTTTTTGGTTGAATGCAATAGGCCGGGCCCGGGCGGAACCAGTTCTTTCTCCTTCTCTTTCTCTGAAAGAAGTACATCCCGGCTCGGCCTCTTCCGGTCAACTTTCAAGAGAAGAACCCTAAACTGCAGTTATATTTTAGATTCTCATATCAGCATATTCATAGCATTTAAAGATCAAAACTTGCTAGGGCACGTCCTAGGATGGTTTCATCCCCCTGTTCACACGGAATGGCCCGGGCCAACGGCTCAGTTGCCATGCTACTCCGTAAGGGGGAGCTCTTTCCGTGGGACCATCAGTAGCCGTGCATTTCATTGAAGGGGCAGGGGTTGGTTGGTCAACGGCTCCTCCCGCCTGGCCGTTATATGGGGAACGCTGAATTTGTGCCGTTCAACGATCCGCTATGGTCTCGCCCTGGTCTAGGATTCTAATCTCGAGCATATTGTTCATATCGGCTCAGGAGTACCGGTGACGGGATTCGGTTTGCACCTGCCTTGTGTTGACGTGCATGATGCAACGGCTCTTGGTCATATCCCCTGAATCTGCAATATATCTGTCATTGGTTTGTGGATGTGTTGCATCCGTCGTGCGTTGCGGCTTCCAGCGATCGGCAGGGCGGTTCCCAGCAGATTGGCCCTTGGGAAACTAATTGATTCTTGGAAATGGACTCGATGTGACATTTCAAAATTATTCCTTGCGGCCTGATCTTGGCTTGGGGGATCTTCAATATTGATCCGTGACTTAAATACTGCTCGAGGGGGTTGTCCATCTTTCCAAGGTTGTTCCGATCACATGCGTATATTGCACACTGTATACGGAGTATTGTAGACACAGTAGATGTCGATCTCAATGTGCCAAGTGCCCGAAAGATCCCCGACGATATGCCTTTAAAACGTGTTGGGGTCAATAATATGATCCTCCCGTTACGCTATTGATTGGATCAACGATGCTGGTGGGACTAGTTCAACATCATGTGAGCGTGTCAAGGCTCAATAATAGATAGTATGTATCAATATTTGTGGAGAAAGGGGAGGAAGCCATGTGGCCAAAAGGCTTAAGCTATAAACATGTAGGATTATTGTAATCTTATTGCCGTTTTAGTCTTCAGCCTCGGTAGTGGAATAAGAATAGGATTGTTATGAGATTTCTGCCGTTCCTAACCGCTTTAGACTGACTACTGTGGTGGGTAAGAATAGAGGCATACCATATTTAAAAGCTGTCAAGATCGTCATTAAGATAGGTGGCCGCGCTTCATCGTCAGCTATATCGGAGTCGATATCAATAATAGTGTCCTCATTCAATTCGCCATAGTTTATAGTACTAGTGTGGTGGTGCGGCATCATGCAGATAGTTGCACAATAACTGGTCGCAGTAGAAGTTGACTATATCAAGGCTGGTCTGACTAGACTACTAGAGCTATCTTCGGTACAACTAGCAGCCGCCTTAGGCTCACAGTCGATGTCTTTAGCCCGGAATTCACCAGTGCAGGTACCGTTATTTATTCACTTACAGGGTAGGGTTGTTTTGAACTATTTCGTTGGTCTTGACCTCCCGGATTCTGAGAACTCTCTCATATGAGGATCAAATATATTTTGCTTAAATATCATACAATCTCACCAATTCGGCGGAAATCATCCTCGCTGAATGTCATTCAAATAAGCCGTCACCCTCTCCACCAAAATCCGCCGCGGCTCCGCTTGATCGCTATCACTCAGCGCATGCGATGCATTAGGAATAACCATACTCCTTGAATCCCAGACCTGCCGCCCACTCCCATCAGCAGCAATCTGCCACCTCTTCAATAGGGCTTCTTTATTAACCCATGGCGGCACCGATTGATCCCTTCCAGAGTACAGCACCAGCATTTTCTGCCTCAGCAAGGCTCTCTCCCGAATCATCCCAAATGTCGCACGGAACCGCTCATCACTTAAGTCGGAACTAAACAAATCATCCTCAGACGGATCCTCCGGACTATCTGGGCTAGCCAGACTCAAGAAACGCCGACTGCTAACCGGCGCAGAGGGCGGATACCCAATCCGCGACGTCACACTCAATGGTACAACCGTATCAACAAGATCGTGATCCTCATACATCGCCCGCCGCGCATCAGCAACAGCCTTATTGTACATCGCGCGCATTTTGGCCGGGCTATCACGCGCAGTGCCACATTTCACAACCCACAATATGCCCTCGCGGTCAGAAACCGGCGCTTGCATAATCGCCCCATCAACTGGCACCCGCACAATCGGCTTCCAGTGGCGGTCGAAGACAGGGTGTGCTGGCCGTGGGTTGGGACAGTTAATATAGTGCATCACGTCCTGGCTGCCGGTCGAATGGCCCATGATGACCACCTTTCCGACGCCGAATTGGGGCTCCTTATATTTTCGGACGTATGAGACGCACTGTGATAGCTCATCAATGTCTTTGCCCAGTCGGCCCATGCCCCACCCGCCGCCGGCGCAGGATAGGATCAGCGAGAATACGCTCCATTGCGATGGGTCTAGCGCTCGGACTACGTCGCTGAGATAGTCGACTGACCCGAGGGTGTCACCTAGTCCGCCGACAAAGATGAGGGTGTGTGGCTTGGGTACATGGCTGCGGGTATATTCGAAGGCGACGAGGGATTTGGTCTGCGAGGTGGCGTTAGCGGTATGAATGACTTGGCTATGGGGGTGGGTGGGTGATGTACACAGTGGTGGAGCACGCCGGGTTCTCCCTGGGCCGGTGGAGTGAGAATTTTCAGTTGCATTACGAGATATTGTGTGCTGCAAGTGGTACCAATACCCAGGTGCAGACTAGTTTGACAATGTGCGTCAGATCTGATAAGAGATCAGATAAGGAGCTGCAACGACGATGTTCCGATACCGGCTTCGCGAAGAGCGGTAAGATGGGAGTTAGGGCTTGGATATATTTTACTAGTGTGTATTATTGGTATTATATTGGCATTTTCCGGTATCGGCGTTTGACTTCGATACTACTTCGCTTGGGTTGATCATCCCTATAACAGCATCTAACCAATGTGAAACAGAAACAAAAGAAAGTAGCTATTATAACACGAGGTAGCTAATATGTACTGAAGCCTGTACAGGCTCATAGAAATGAAATACAGACACAGCACGGTTTATCGGCTCTCTGAGTCGGTACTATCGTGGGCTCCAACGGAATCTTGTGAGAGACAGCCAAAAGCAACGAAACTCGGTCGCGTGAGCTCTACTCAAGGACTTGAAGGGATTTTGGCCTTAATATAGCTACAGTTTCCCTCGACTCCAGTAGCGAGAAGGAAATTCTCGCGGCCGTGCTCTGAAGGAGACATGATCTCGATTGCACATCGTCTTTCTAGTATAACAAAGATGATAAAACCACCATGATGGGCGGTGGAAGGAGGGAATCATACTGAACTTATGGTCAAGCAAGGGGCTTATGCTGGTCTTATTCAACTGCAGAATCTCAGCATCAACTCGTTAGACAATAAAGTCAATAAACACTCATCTTATATCGCCGAAATAGAGCAAGCCAGTAAGCATAGGCTGAGTGACCAAATTTGATCGCAGGGTCTTCGTCGATACAACGGACACGCCTTTGGAATCCTCGTCCACTCCGTTTACCTAGAAACTAACCAAGAAGTCCCGCTGGTATCCGAGTGATAAATATTTCTTATCATACGCCCCTATCTTCTCATTGCACTTATTGCCCTCGTGGGTGCCAGTATCATGTTGAATAAAACCAAGCCCTGCAATAGAGGTCTAGACTCTGGGCTTCATTGAGGGTTCAATTTTTCATTGTTCATGTGTCCTTTCAGCCGGTTCATAAGATAACTATGGCGACCTGTTCTCATGCACATTGTAAATGTGGGCTCTCGGACGGGACTTCCTCTTCACTGCGAGTTGAGATGGCATCGGACTGGAAGCAACCTGAAACTAAAGACAGCAAAGGTCAGTATGCATAGACTTCTTTCGACTTTGAGGCACACTTACAGGAAATCTGTAGTCCCTTATAGAAGTCTCTTTGTCTTCTCTAAATGATATGAGCGTCATTCCCTGGGTAAGTATACTGGAGTACTCACGATATGCGCTGCGTTGATATGTCTTTTCACCCGTACCGGGCAAGGTCGTCCCTCCTTTTCCACGTTATCGAGTGCCGTGTAATATGGGCACCTGAAGGCACATGCAGGGATTTGCTTTGATAGACCGACAAGAGTCAGTCAGGGAAAGGTTACCTCTTAGGGCGACTTGATTTAGAATTCTCACGATCATCACATGGTCAACCGGCCACTGGGTTGGGAAGTGCTCCCAGCATTCGCACAATTTCTTAGGTTGGCTTCAGGATTTATGCGTGAGCAAATATCAACCAAAGGACCTAGGGAAAACATGCTTACACCCAGTAATTAGGCTGCACTTTCGGATCGATTCTCATCCAGTAGAATCCGCAGAGTGGGCTACCATCTTCAGTGATCCAAGAGGGTGAGTCCTGAGGCTTGGAGGCCATCTTGTTTGAATTAAGATCTTTCGCTAGCAATTCGGCTCTAGTGCTCTCTAGGTGGAACTTGAATGTTTGGGGTGCGAGATTAAGGTCTCCTAGTATCAATCGAAGATGGTATACGTGCCTGGTAGTCCCGCAGTGCAGACTCGATGGTTTAGCGATGAAGGTATATTTATACGATAGTTGTGCGGAGGGTGTGAAAAGTGAGTGAAAAGTGAGTGATAATAAAGGAGATTATCCGATAGTATAAGAATAGGGTATAGTAAGCCACTGCCTGAGATTAGATAGTAAGGAAAGAGTGGAATTTAGCAGTATTTTTAAAACTAACTATAAATAATATAAAGCTTATACTCTTATCATATTAAAGCTATCATAGGAGCGCCTCTAGGTAGTTATATTCCTAATAAAGAGAATATTCCAGATTCATTAACTCTCCTACTCGGCATTTTACCAATAGGAATAAGGCCACACTACTCTCTGTCCTGCCTCGAGACGACTGTCTTCAGCACGGTACATATAATAATTCAATGTTACCGACTCCGGCGATTCTACTAAGATTATTCTTGGCCTAGGTTCCGAAAAGCCAAAGCGGAAAGTAGGATAGAAGATTATATCGAGGAAGAAAGAAAAGGTGATATATCCTTTATCTTCCATTTTTGGTGCCGGCAATATCAACCGGGCCGGGGCTGCAGGTCATGCACCAATAAGAAATATCCTCTTGTCACGACTTCAATATAAGTTCTTCTTAACTTATCACCATCCAACCACACACATGCCTAAGAACACTTCTCAATTTAACCCCTCTTCACCCTTTTAGTTGTCCTCTTTTATTCATTTGCCCCTCCCATCCGATCATTTGAAATGAACAGTCATTCTCAGCACTCAGAGCAAAATGAAGAGATTACCAGTGAAAATGAGGCCATACCTCTCCTCAAACGTACCTTCGCGGGTGAAGACAACCCTAAAACACAGGCAGTCATTTCCGAGCTCGTTCAAACAAGACGAGGGCTGAAACAACGTCATATTCAAATGATAGCCCTGGCCGGGACCATCGGTACTGGCCTCTTCCTAGCGACCGGAAAATCCTTAGCAAGGGGTGGACCGCTAAGCATGTTGCTGGCATATTGCATTGTGGGTATGCTTATATGCTGCGTGGTCTTTTCCGTGGCTGAGCTCAGTGCTCTGGCGCCTCTTTCCGGTGGTATCATAAGACACGCCGAATGGTTCGTTGACCCTGCTCTGGCGTTTGCACAAGGCTGGAATAGTGTTTATGCAAATGCTATCCTGCTGCCGGCTGAAATGGTGGCTTGCGCTGTCATCATCGACTTTTGGTCTGATATTAACCATGCAGTATGGATTAGCGCCCTTGGCGCACTGCTGATCGTTAGTAATATGCTGTTGGTCAGTATTTACGGCGAGTTGGAGTTTGTTTTTGCAATGTTGAAGATTGCTCTGATTGTTGGTGTGAATATCATGGTGAGCAGATCTCGAGCAATATTCTGGTTAGTTCCTGACTGATTTCCATAGAGTGTATGCATTACCTCTGGCGCAGGTCCACGGGGTTATCCCATGGGGTTTCGATTTTGGCGAGACCCTGGACCCTTTGTGCAGTTTCTCGGAATCAACGGCTCATGGGGACGGTTCCTTGGGTTTTGGCGTGTCTTGAGTAGTGCAGCCTATGCATTTTCCAACGTCGAGAATATATCGGTTGCAGCAGCTGAGACACAGAATCCTCGGCATAACATCCCCAAGGCCGCCAAACGTGTGTTCTGGAGAATCCTGATATTTTATCTGATCACCATTTTCATGATGGGCCTTATTGTCCCCTCCAATGATAAGGGGTTGCTGTCAAATTCCGGGGATGCTGGAGCGTCTCCGTTCGCGATTGCTGCCACTAATGTCGGGATCAAAGTGGTACCTTCGATCATCAATGCTGTCGTTGTCACAAGTGCATGGAGCGCTGGTAATTCTGGTGAGTATGCATTTTTCCATTGGCTGCTGTACTTCTGCTTACCCAAATACAGCCATGCTCGTGGGAACCAGGACACTATATGGACTTGCTCAAGAGGGGCATGCCCCAGAATTATTCACTCGCATCAATCGCTTCGGGGTTCCTTGGATATCGGTTGCCGCAGTCGGATCTTTTCTTGCCTTGGGGTATATGACGCTATCATCCGCAGCTTCTGTTGTATTTGATTGGCTCCAGCAACTGGTCTCAGCTGCCTCTTTGGTGCATTGGATCAATATAGAGGTGATCTATTTGAGGTTTTTTTATGGCTGTAAGAAGCAAAAGATTAGCCGTACTGAACTTCCTTGGCAAAGCCCATTTCAACCCTATGCGGCATGGATTTCTCTGGTTTCTTTCAGTATAATTCTGCTCACGGGTGGATTCCATGTGTTTATTGAGGGCAATTGGAGTTCTCAGATCTTTGTATCGTCATACTTCAATATTCCGCTTATATTTGCCCTATATTTTGGGTGCAAATTTTGGCGAAAGACCCGGCTTGTCCCACTGGAAGAAATTCCAATCCGCGAATTTCTTCACATCGCGAATGAAAATCCAGAACCTATACCTTCTCCAGCTACTGGGTGGCGAAAATTGAATATCCTTTGGGCTTGATGTTGGGGGATTTGGAATGAGGCGATGGGAGAGGCAAAATACATGTCGGAATGGAGGATGGGCTAAATGGACCGATTATATTTCGAGTATTCATTCAAATTGTCCAAATATACACGTTGTCCACCGGAACCAGTCTCAACTACTAGCCCCAGACCAGAGGGTAGACCGGTCTTACTCAACCCCAAATCGCCTAGCCACCTCTCGGAAGCCATCAGACTCAAGATCAATCCACATATCCACGTACCCGCCAGTCTTGGCGTTCGCAGCCTGCTCCTGTGACATCTCTTCCTCTAGCTCACGCTCAACATAGATAGTCTGAAACCCACAGCTCTTGGCAGCCTTCAAATCGCGCAGATGCGCTGCAACCATTCCGCACTGGCCTGGCTCCAGTCCAAACTTCCTGGCAGCACCCTTATAAACCAATGGAGAAGGCTTGTAAGCCCCAAAGTTCTCCGCACTAACAAGTTGCGTGAAAGGCAGTGATCCATGACGTTGGAGGTCCTGCAGTAAAGAGACATTCCCATTCGACAGGGTAGAAGTGGCAAAGCGCCGGTTCAACAACTCAAGACCTTTCACACTATCCGGCCAAGGGTTGAGCCGGTGCCACGCGAAAGAGAGTTCCCACAGCTTCTCGTCAGTGAACAGGCCCTCCAGACCGCGCTGCCGCAAGAGGACCTGAAGCGCATTGTAGTGGTGCTGGTCGACGGACATAAACTTTTCGGATGTGTCAAATGTACTAGTGAACACATTGTAAGTCTGCCGCCATTCTGCGACAAAAGCCAGCCAGTCGTCACTGGTCATGGCCGCAGCACGGTCCCGCAAGTCGGCTGGGAGGTCCTTGCTGGGATAATTAACAATATGTACGGCAGCCACACTCAGCTCTTCCGTGACGCATGTACGCCACGAAACTACTGTGCCAAACATATCGAAAAATAACATCTGGGGCGGGTTGTCTGTCGACATTTTATGTAGTTGGTGTTGGATGATGATGGTGATATGCAGCTGTTCCCCGCACTTTCGAGATTATGTCGGTTTCCGATGTCTGTCCAGGTGGGATATTAACAAAGTTGAGATCGCAGCTGGATATATGTACATGTACAACATAAGTCTATATATGCCGATGTCCAGGGAATGACGCAAATAGGCTTAGTCAGCCCGGTTAATCGCATCTCTAGATCTAACGGCCGGATTGTTCTGGCGGATCTTATTGGAGAAAGGGAAAGGGAATCAGTTCTCAGAGACTTGTCTCGAAACATGCATTGTAAGAAGTTGGAGTATTTTATGTGTTGAGTCTTCGAGATCTTAAAAAAGGTGGCACAGAACATTCTGCCTATTCTTTTTCCGCCTTCTTTCAATGCTCTCGACATTCTCAAGCTAATCATCACGACTATTGTTCAATCCGACGATCTTCTATTATAAGTGACCTTCCCTACGGAGTACATACGAAGTACTTTGCACACAGCTTCAGCCCTTCCGTGTATTGTCTGCGCCTCCAATCTAGACTCACCACTAGCACTGTCAGACAAAGAAACCGACCAGGAATGTGAAATATCAGCGAATATCGACCTGTCAACGGCCCTCGTCCAAGTCAAAAAGTACCCGGCGTCCCGTCCCCTGAGGTCAGTGGGGCAAATGGGTGGAAATGGTTCGCGGAGATTCCTTAATACTTCGTGTCAAACCCCGCTGCTAGTCTGATTTCCAATGGCAATTTGGGGGCTTGACATTCAGAGTCTAGACATGACTCCGTACCTACTTCGTCCATTGGATACGATAATAAAGCATTTATTGCCAATCATTGGCGATTCTCATACGCCACCTCTGACGTTTGCTAGCTGTGCGACCGGCACTTGCATCGACATATGCAAGAGAAACAGACCGAGGCCATGGAGGCCATAGAGTGTCGCGTACATCCATTGTGGTGTGAAGTCCGGATGAATTTCTGGTTCTTCATTTCGGCCAATGTGGGTTCCTCGTTCTTCGAAGCTCTCGGTGGAGACCTTGGATGGGTCTGTTTTTTTTACCCCTGATCCGCGATAATGTCCGAGATGCTTCGATTCTTGACTATTTGACTGTCTAGAGATAATCATCACAAAAAGGAACCAATACTACACAACATGCAACGTGCGACAGGTTACGTGCAACATATGCGACACATACACCCTGGAAACTCTGAAACCAGACTAGGCTCTGCGAAATTGCGTACGGCGATCGTCGCCCAAACGAGCTACGAATTGGCCGCCAACACAGCCATTTAATTTATCAAACACGCTAACCTTTGCTATTTTAGTGTCTTTGGAATCGAAACTATTGGTCATTGCAAAGGCTTTTCTTATTTTTATGGTTTGCCTTCCATGATTTCGCCAAACAAAATAGGGGGTGATCTTCCCAGGTCAAAAAAGTGCTTGAGCTTCATGGCCCAGACACGCAGTGGAGTTCTGTCACGAACTCCTACAACATACCCCAGGCAGTTAATCTATGAATCTTACTCCGTACGGAGTACACTCATATTCCTTTTCCAGGCTTTCCGACCTTCTGATCAATAGCTCATTCTCTTGAGAATACGGCCCCGTTTTTATCTCTTTTTTTACCTTTCCTCGTTTCTTTGTCTCCAAATAATCAGCTTCTCCATGACCTTTGAGATCTACCACAATACCAAGTATACTCCATACACTCTGGTGATTCTCTCTCGCGCGAACAGACCCTGAAAGCGTTTTATACAGGGGATATTGACTGAAGCTCATCTGTCTTAGTGTCTGGCAGCTGCAGTGGAGTATTCAATCCTGTGGGCTAATCGGGTGGATTCTTTTCTTTCCCCATATGCCCCCTAACGAACGCCCCTGGGACTTTTTTCTTTCTTTTTTAGAAGTCCAAGACTCTCCTCGCGTCCGTGTTTCCGATATGCGCAGGCATGCCGCAAGGCTGATCTAATCCCCTAAGGTCTTTTAATGGTCTAAGCCCCGACTCCTCCCAGGTCATTACCTTCGTAAGTACTCCGTACGGCGTAAATCTACAGAGTACTGGATCTCAGGGGATTCTATAATCGCGATCGGCCCTCGCATCCTTCGGGTTGATCTATTTTCCCTCCCGGAATCGGGCCATACCTCCCGATTGACATCTTCCTCCTCTCTTAAGCTAAAACGGTCAGACCTGTTTGTCACTGGAGTACTCCGTAAGTAGAGTTAGGGGGCCTCTCTTCCCGTGCATATCCAAATATCGGCATTGCGCTCAAGCGTGCATCTTACACATCTTCATTGTAACCGTGGCTGACCTCTTCGTTCCACCAAGTGTCAAAAGTCCCAGCGTTGAATTTCCCCTCCATCCCGCGTTCGACCAGTCGATTGCACCGAGCGAAAACCTGTCTCTGGAGAGAGACAAGCGCCGGCTTCAAAACAGTCAATAGTCGGATGGTTGAACTACGGTAGTCTTTTGATGGGATCCAGTGCGTGAAGTGCTCTGGTTAGCCCAAGGAGCAGAGCCTCGATGGTTTGAGGCGGTTCATCCGGCACATTCACAAAGAGAGATGGCCGATTTACAGTGGCCGCCTTCCATGGCCCACCCCTCCCCGGCGCCATCCTTTAGATCCAGATCTCGAGCTCCATCCAAAGGAGGATCGAGATCGAGATCGAGACCGTCCTTGCGCCGGCGAGATTCCTCCCCGACACCTTCCTCCCCACCTGGCCTCCCAACCCCCGCATTCTCCCCCGACGGACAAACAGACGAAGATGATATCGATATCACCGAGGATACCCTATCCCCCTTCGACCCGCGGAGGATCACACCCACTCTCCATGCATCTCTCGTATCGGAGATTCTCTCGCTACGGCGGGAGATAGAGAACAAAACCAAGGCAATCGATGGGTTAGAAGAGAGCTTGGACGAATCAAGGACTGAAAATGAAACACTGACCACGAATCTGTCCCAGGCGACCTGGGAAGGGCGCTCGTTGAAACATCAAATCCAACTATTGGAAGGTGGAACGTCATCTGCGATGGCCGAGCTAGCTCGGGAGCGCGATGAAGCGGTCGAGAACATCGGCGATGTTCGTAAAAGGCTCGAGCAGGCACAGAAAAAAGCCCGAAGTCGGGAGGAGGACGTCGAACGAACTCAATTACTCTGGAGTCGCGACCAAGACTCCTGGGCGGATGAACGCCGAGCCCTGGAACGCAAGATTCACGTAGTAGAGGGCCGCTTGAAGACCGTTTTGAACGAGGTCGCAGCCGCCCAGGAAGTGGTGACTATCCGCTCGCGTTCACAACCGAGTGAGAATAGTGACCATATTCATGACAAGAATAAAGAAAGCGACTCAGCCAGTGTGGCATCTAGTAGCCTAGGCCGCCGACGCACGAGCGTGACCACCTTGAGCTCAGAAGAAGGTGAAGAGGCGGTCATATTCCATAACGTGCGGTACTCAGTTATGAGTATCGCGCCTGGAAGCAAGAATGGTTCAGGTTTGAACCTGGCGGAGGAACTCGACTTCGAGGAAGAGGATGAGGATGAGTTTGTCCCATCTGATGATGAGCTGCCTTCCTCTCCGGAGGCGCTGCCCGAAGAACGCCCAATGTCGGTTCACTCACAGGGGTCGCATAGTGTTTCTTTCAAGGCCAGGAAGATCCTAGGTCTTTCCCTGCAGAGCTCGGACTTATACTCACCCACTGCCCTGGAGTTCCGTGCACGGGAACTCGGGCTTGCTAGCCCAGTGAAACTTGACCCGGCAGTTGAATACCGCGATATCGGCATCCAGTACTCACCTCCTCCGTCGCCTACGCTAGAAGGGAAGGTTGTATACGACATTGTTCCTGAGCCCATGGAAACCGTCTCAGAGCCCGAGAAAGAAGACGACCAGAAAACGAAAATACCTAGAACGAATGACAGCGCCACGCTCCCAGTTGCACCTCAGATGGTTTCTAATTCTTGTCAGACCGTGGATGAACTCCCAAGTCCTCCATGGACGCCGAATGTGGCTGACTCGCCTCAGCCTGTCGAGTCCACCCCGGAGCCGGTGCAAATGAAATCGGCATCCACCCAGACTGATGTCGTTCCGGAACCATGTGTTGCTCAAAGCGAAAACCTGTCCCCCAATGCCTCATCCAAGATGGACATTCCAATGATCGCTATCCACCCACCAGGCTCAGAGCCATCCTCACCTCGAAATAGTGTCGTTCTTCCACCGCAGACCAAGAACATCGCTTGCCAGGCCAACTTCCGGGCAATTGCTGATTGCCGATCCGTCGCCATCCAAACCGAGGAAATCCGTTTCGATCAACGCCCTGTCAGACTTCCTGCCAGTCTTCTTCCTTCTGCTATTCAAGATGCACTACCTCTCCCTGAACCCGAAGAGCCTAGCCTCGAGTTTTGCACTGTGCCCCCGGTTCCGCCACGGTCCGAGAAACGAAAGCAGAGACGTCTGATAACAGATCAGCCGACAGATCATCCCGTGAAGCCTCCTAGAGCACCTGGTCCAGATCATGTGCAGGCGTACCCCGGTAACAACGATAATGGTCCGCTCTCAGATGATACCTTGTCCAATATTCGACGGCCTCTACGTTCAAGCAGTCTCTTCGCCGGCTTTGAGAATAACAGCGATGACGAAGGCCCGCATGGCGAACGCGATGTCTTCACCGACGATGAGCTCCTTAACCGCCCTTTTGCCGCATACACTGTCAGTCGTGGCAAGCTCATCACTTCGAAATCAAGACCTAGCTTGGACGGCATGCCTCTCCCCGAGATCGACGAGCAGCTATCTTCCCCGGAGTCAAGACCACCCAATATTGGCCGTTCTCGGGCTTCCCAGCGGTCTGGTATGACCAGTATTCGCCAGCCCGGCATGCGCAAATTAGCCATGATTTCCAGCGGAACCGCCGCGCACCAGAAACCCCGTGCCCGCAGTCCCAGTGAACCAAGCCTCGAGAGCGGCAGTACAGGCTCAAGCATCGCACCGCCATTCCCTGTACCCATCCGTCTCA